CTTTTACTCTGTATGGGGATGACTATTATTTATATTTCTGTTAATTTGTCGTATTCGCGTATATTTACTTTTTCTCTTTGTCTGTATTCCTATCGCGTATTCCTTACGGATAATCAATACAGGGACACATGTAAAAAGAACAGACAATAGTAATTGTTTACATAATTAAAATCGATAAAATTATTAATCCTTTAGGTTAGTAAAAATCTTTTACAATTACCGACAAATAAAACAATAAAAGTTTTATCAAAATTAATTAATTGTGAAAATGTTGATATGTTGACTTTTTCCCGTAAACAGTATAGTCTTGCTGAAATAAATTAACAAATATATCTACTTTTAACTCTGTATTAAAGTTGTAAAACTTGTCACTGGTGCAAAAAAAAAACCAAAAAAACATCCACAGCGGAAAAGGCTGAAAAAATCAAAATGAAACCTAAAAAACTATAAAGCACGGCTATACGATTGTGTTTAGTAAATATCGTGCAATTCAGTCAAACCCTCTTATAAGTACCGCACATCGCTGTAACCCGCAAATAATTCAATTTACCGGAATTTAATATACATGAAACAGTAATTCTGGGACAATTGCATTTTGCCTCAACAATCGAAGATTTGTCAAGCTGTAAATTGTCCACCCCACAAAAAGGTTATGTATGCATTGAACAGTGGTTTTAACGAAAGAGCAACTTAAAACAGGAACGTAGAAATGATTACTAGTATACACATGAGGGTGTGGGGTTCTACACGCTCTTCCGAGTGTGATAAATGGAATAGTTTTTTTTTAATCGTTAAATCCTTTGTAATACACAGGCCTACAGAAGGGGTTTTAAACATTACGATCCAAAAAAATAAATCATTGCAAAGCAAAAAAGAAATTATACATTGAATATACAATGAACATACGCAGTTAAAAGAGTATGATGAACTTAAACATGTTAAACTTAAATATTCTAGGTTCGTAGAATGATAATTTTGTATGCTTGCCATTTAAAATTTTTCCGTACATTCTTAATATGTTTGTTTTTATCTGTTCGTACTTAATGATGTTCCTTTCTTTCCAAATTAAAAATTCCCTTGTTAATTAAACCGTATTGACAATTACCTCCTATATGTATGATTCATTTGCAATACACAGAAAAATAGATTCCTCCAATTTGTTTTTTAAGTTTTGCTTTGATTGTTTTTTTTTAAATATATAAAATGAATTTATCTTGTTAAAAACAACTACTTTACATCATTTGTTATTTCTCCAATACACGAGAATATGCACTTGATTTTCTTAACCAATCCTACGAAAGTAGCAAATCCCGTTGAATTGTTGGATTTATTTCTTATTTCTTCAGTATATGCAATATAATGAAATTTGTTCCATTGTAATTGGCAAGCTTATCTATAGTTGCAACATTATTTTGTTGATATTTACTTATACCATAATTTTTTTTTTAATTGATGATGTATAATCAATTTTACTTCACACGAGGGCCACACATCGTTAAAGAACATCATGTTCTTTTAATTTTAATTCCTTTCGATGAATTGCCCGCAATAATACAGCAATCCATCAACAATTTAAAGGTAAGGATGGAAACTATATACTACATGAAACCGTTACTTGAAATTTTTGCATCTTATATGTTTTCTAGAATGTGCGTATGATAAAATCCTCTTAACTTTGGGTACAATTAAATTGTTTTTTTCGTTTAGTTTTTCGTCGTCTGGATACCAGATAATCATGTTTTTTAAGTATAATATAAATATCGTTAATCAATATGTTTAACTGCTAGTGTTTACAACACAATATTTATCTGGCTTAAAGAAGTTGCAACCATTCTAACGTTCAGGAATTATTATCAAATACTTTTGAAAATGAGCGCGCAAAAATTGAAGACACGTGACAACAGTAAAATCTATTTAACAAAATCGTCATAACTGGTGATAAAAAGTTCTGTGATCATGACAAAATCGAGACGAATACACCTTATGAATAAAAGGAGATGTGATAGATACGTCAAGGAGACATCAACAACTCAACAACACAAATAACTAAAATCCGTCAACAATTGACTGTCTACAAAATACGTCAAACTTGAACAATGGTCCTACAGTTGTATTAAGCACAAATACTTTGACTGTTTGGGAAGTGTGTACAGGGTACGGCTGTGATTTAGAACATGGTAAAACTAATTAAGGATGAATTACACAACATCGGACTAGGTGAATTGACAGTGGCTACGCCAGTCTGAACTGACATTTGAAAACTCCTTTTCACTTATAAAACAGCGCCTACTAGATATAAAAATACAAGAACTTTATTTTTTTTTTGGAAAACAGTAGCAATTAGTAGTGTGTCATTTACAAAAATATAACCACAAACCTAGATTTTCATTATATACCCCCTACTCTATACCGAAAGCCCGGAAAGGCTATTACAAAAATAAGACTAAATCATTAAATATTGAGACTGGTCGTTTTCTGAATGTTCCTGTAATGATATCGTTTATGCAAAGTATGTAGTCAATGTATTGAGGACGAGTTCCACTTTATTCTTGTGTGTCCGGCATATAGAGACTTGCGTGCAAAGTTTATAAAACAATACTACAGTTATAGACAGAGCGTATATAAACGGATACAGTTGTTAACTCTACAAAATGTTAAGCAGTTGACTTTTTTGGGGGAAAATTTATTATCCTGGCTTTTAAAAGGAAGGACAGTATTTTACAAAATGATTAACATTCTCTATCTACATGTTTTATTTCAATTATAATTTATTATTTCTTTTTTACACCGATGAGCTGTAAAGCTTAATGTAATAAAGTATATATTATATTGTATATTTAGAAGACCTACTTTATAACCGTCCTATAATACAGTTATGTGTGTGTTTGTTTCTTATTTCAATTAGCATGTAAGAGGGTATGAATGGGTTGCCTCCATGAATGAGGGCATACGTATGGACATGGAAGTATTATATTGACAGGAACTCCAACGAAAAAATAGCACATTCCCATCCCACTGATTCCTTGAAGAAAATAAAAGGTTCCGACTCAGTTTGTCAAGTACGTGATAACTCCTTTGTGGGGTATCTGCGATGCCACCTTCGCCTGTTCTGTTAACTGAAACTGGTCTTATCACGTGATTTGGTATCGAGTGTCTTATCTACCTACCAATGTAAATAAACACGGAAACTCCCGTGGTTATTTGTGAATCGCCAAAGTAATAACGACACCTGTTTCCATTCAATAAATAAAGACAAAAGCTGAAAAGATCGAAAAAAATCGGTCCATATTTAACAGAATGACATAAGAAAATTAACTGCATTCGGAAAGAGGGCAAGCTTATTTTTAGTTTTGTTTAATATGTTTTAATCATTGAAACTTGGAAATCGGGAAATATCCGATATTAAAAATTACATGTACTTTAAGTCGGGTGTTTGCGGAAAAACAATGTGATGCACGTGTAGTGTGCCGGATGGTGCCGGATAGCTTAAATTTAAGTTTTATGGTTGATAGTCAATATAATACTTCCATGGTATGGATGAGGTTTACAGATTAGAAAATAATGGTCAAAAAGAAAAGATTAAAGGATTAGAAGAAAGAAATGGACCCAAAAGTATAGAAAACAAATTAAAAGTGTGACGAAATATAAAGAATAGAGAATAATTGGCAGAAAATCAAAGAGAAGAAATGGTCCACAAATGCAAATCTAACCCCCTCTTTTCCACCACCAAATCACCACAACATCAACACACTTTCGCATATTTACATATCTATACAAATATTCAATTTTGATTTCATGGTACCCCATGACATCGGGGTTCTGGACCCGCCCCTGTTATACTTACATGTAGTCTGTGATACTTGTAAAAAGTTGTCAAAAAGGTGAATTCTAGATCCAATAGACCGGGTGTAACGTTGACTATACAAACCACCTTGTACTATAGTGTCATATTTATTTTATACATGTTCAAAAGTTAATATTTCTAACAAATAACTTACTTACTTTATAGCAAACCAGACTATGACATTGTCTTTGAGCAAACCAACTTGAGAAAAAACGCCCTTTTTGTTGCTCTAATCATAACTGAAAATTGACTTCTTAAAAAAAAAGAAGTTTTACTTTATTCTAATTGATACAAAATAAAATAATGGCACCGTTTATCATTTGAAAGTTTTTTTTTCAAGTATTCTTTCATCGAACTACTTTCAACCAAGGAATGTAAATCTCATAAGCCAATCTTATGGCTGGGTACTGATTGTTTTAATGTATATTTTTATTATGTCATTGTATAATGTCCAATCAGTATGTGACACAATAATAAAATAAAATTTATTATTTATTTTATTATTATACAAATCCTTGTATCAACTAATCAATTGTTTATTGCATAAGGTTAATTGAACACGATGCTTGGGAATTTTTACTATTCGTGTGTCACGTGCCGTTCGTCACGTGCGGGGTGGCACGCGCTGATTAAAAAGTCGTTTTACTTCAAGAATTATAATATCAGTTTATTGAATCAGATTCAAAATTTTATATTCATGCTTTACATGCTTATATCTTCTTGTATCCATGTTTGCGTGCTCCTTAAACACATTGTAGTGACCTTAATGCAAAAAACGTTATTCTTGGTAATGTCTTTGGGTGCACTAAGAAGTCCTTTGGAGTATTTCTATATATGCACTGCTGGCAATTCTCACTTGAGGTATATGTTCAAATTTGCAATAAATAAATAAATGAAAAAATAAAACTAAAAAAACACACGACTTAATTAGTTCTTAAAAGGTTCTTTATCAAAACTCTAAATTCATGATACAGGCTCCAAAGTCAACACATATTAGTGATTGTAAAAAATATGATGGTTTTGTGCATTGTTTGGACACCAAAACACGAATAACTCTAAAAAAAATAAACAAATGTGTTCTTGCTGTCAGATCAAAACCCAGACCACTGAATTTATCATATCGATAATTTTACATTTGTACTTATTACGTAAGAAGATGTATGTCCAGGTAAGGTGATGATGGGAGTTTTTAACGACCTTGACTGGCTATACTGACCCTTGCACGGTCGGTAATCCAGGTAAGGTTTGACAACGGGTGGTATATATAATTAAGTGTGTGTCATCTTCAATTATACACCTGACGATGACATTCTGCTTTAGGGCAATTCAGTGTCTATTGAGAAGAATGTATTTTAGAGGGCTTATTCTCATTTCGCCTTAGCTGTCAAAATCTTTATATAAAATTAATCCCATTTTGCCTTAGTACAAATTTTCAGGTAAAAAAGAATTAACTAAGGAGAAATGGGAACATGTGTTAACAATGTAATTAAGTTATTTTTTGTTTGTATTGCAATTAGTGGATATTTGTTATTTTATTGTCAAAATCTGCCATGCAATACTTTTTAAAAGAAGATGTTTTTTTGGTGTCTTTCAGATTGTCTTTTTATTCTTTTTATAGTAGCTCATCTTTTTATGACCGACCTAAAAAGGGGGCGCTCCAGTCATGCTTCAGTGATTCCCTATATAATCAAACAAACTTTTCCCACGAAAGGGGGGACCCCTGGATCCGCCTATGAAATATTAACAGACTTATCAAATTTCATGCCATTCAATTCTAATATTTAAAGTTGTACAAATAAGAATTTAATGTCTTGCATAAATTATAGCGAATGGGTTTTGTCTGCAAATATATGTACGTTAATCAAAAACTTGACACCTTCTGGACATTCATTATTTCGTTATACTCACTGTACTAATACGACAAATACTTCTAATATATGAATTCCCCGACACTTTTCCATTCCCAATTAAAAACTAATTTCTTAAGTCTAAACTAATAAATCTACTCATGGAAGTATTATAGATTCAATATTTTATTGTACAGTATAATACTTCCTGGCTCTATATTACTATTATTATATGTCTGTTTGACAGTTTCACACATATTGATTTTGAATGTTGGAAAATAAGTCAAAGAAAAAAATAATCACGGAAGAAATGTCATGGACAAAAAACGTAGTTCTTAGTGCAATAAGAAGTCCTTTGTGGTATTTCTTCACACCTGGTTTCCATGGATTATATATATATATGTATATACTCCTCAAAATTCAAGAGTCTATCCTAAATTGAGGTAAGTTGTAGGGCTTTCCAAATACCGTTTCGATTCCTAACATCACTGAAGAGACATTAATTGTCGAAATCCGGATATGGTGTACAAAAACCTTTGCACCTTTTGTTTGCGGTATTCCATCTTTTCCGCAAGTTTATTGTTTTCTGTTTAGTATTAAATTTATAATTAGGATCCATTAATTACATCGGTGATCCGTTTATTTGGCAATCGCCAATGGCAGTCAGCAGGGTTTAAGAACATTTGTTGTTCGACCTGTTAGTCAAATGCGTTATGTTAAACTATACTTTTTCACTTTTTTGGTCTTTTGGAAAATGTTGTTTGTGCTGTATTTAGACCCCTCTAACAAGAAATTTGTTTTGCATGCACACGTATAAAAATTGCGGTTTTTATCCAACGCAATCATAGGTTTGAACGTTGTTTTCAATTTAGACTTGTTTATATTTTTTCGTTTGGGCTTGTATTATATTTGCCTTCGGGTTTATATGGTCTGTTCATCCTATTTTGACTCCTCAAAATTCAAGAGTCTATCCTAAATTGAGGTAAATTGTAGGGCTTTCCAAATACCGTTTCGATTCCTAACATCACTGAAGAGACATTAATTGTCGAAATTCGGATATGGTGTACAAAAACCTTTGCACCTTTTGTTTGCGGTATTCCATCTTTTCCGCAAGTTTATTGTTTTCTGTTTAGTATTAAATTTATAATTAAGATCCATTTATTCAACGGTGATCCGTTTATTTGGCAATCGCCAATGGCAGTCAGCAGGGTTTAAGAACATTTGTTGTTCGACCTGTTAGTCAAATGCGTTTTGTTAAACTATACTTTTTCACTTTTTTGTTCTTTTGGAAAATGTTGTTTGTGCTGTATTTAGACCCCTCTAACAAGAAATTTGTTTTGCATGCACACGTCTAAAAATTGCGGTTTTTATCCAACGCAATCATAGGTTTGAACGTTGTTTTCAATTTAGACTTGTATATATATATATAAGATTCAAACGTACTTAAAATGTTTTATTAATGTATAACCACTTAATTATCTGTTTTTGATATATAAATAAGTCGAAGACACTATTCTATGAATTTCAAAATTCCATTTCCTGTTCATTAATTTAAAGACAATAGTATTCGCTTTCAATATACCAAACAGCGTGCTGCAGCACGCTTTACATTTTTAATAGTCAACACTTTTGAGTGTATATAGAATCGTAAATAATTATGAAATTATTTAAATGCTTGCAAAATTGCGATATTGTGTGAAATAGCTTTCCATATTTTCGGCATCCTGTCAAATAGTTCGTGAAAAGTATCAATTGTTCTGCATTACAAGAATAGAAAGTTGCGTTCGTGCTTTAACTTTTTTTTTGTCAGACAAATGACGAAACATTCGACATCTGAACCAGTGAATTTCGCTTACTTTTGATTAGACGAAAGGTTTATTTTTTGTTCTCAAAGTATGGTGGGCAAGGAAATTATTTATTAGCTATATATATATATATATATATATATATATATATATATATAAACGCCTAAAAAGTGTACACAACAACACCAATAACAAAAAAAGGAACTATAAATGTAATTATTTATAAATATTTCGGATAACAGATATCCTTCATCAGTAAATATGATTGTGATGTTGAATGAATCATATATCAGTCTACTTAGATTAAACTATAACAATCTTGAAATTATATATATATATATAAAAAAATCCGTGTTATACCCAAACTTTGAATTCTGATCAAGCAGGCCCTAGGTCCCTAGCTTCCGTTTGCACCTAGTGCGGACAAAAGTGTTGCCGTAGAATTTTTTTTTTATTAACTTATCGGTAAGGGTGGGGTAGGGTGTCCGACCCCAACTTTGGACCTACTTTAAAAAAAAAGCTTAGCCGAACAATACCCTGGATTTTTTTCTCAAGTAGACCTCAGCTACCCAGCTTCCCTTTGCACCTAGTGCGGACAAAAGTATTGCCGTAGAAATTTGTTTATTAACTTTTTGGTAAGGGTGGGGTAGGGTGTCCGACCCAAACTTTGGATCTACTTAAAAAAAACTAAGCCGAACAACACCCTGGATTTTTTCTCAAGTAGACATCAGCTACCCAGCTTCTTTTTGCACATAGTGCGGACAAAAGTATTGCCGTAGACAATTTTTTTATTAACTTTTCGGTAAGGGTGGGTTAGAGTGTCAGCCCCAACTTTGGACCTATCTTTAAAAAAAAAAACTTTTCCGTAAGGGTTGGGTAGACTAAATCTAGCATTATAAGACTCAAATGTTTTAAACTATATATATAGCTTTCTATTTAAACATTCGAAAGCATCAAGGGCATAAGTACTATGAGCCGTTTTAGAGGCAATATCTACTTTATCTCTGGTACCATGGTCAATGTGGAGAATCTCTTTGTTTGGCCTGGAATAGTGAAATTGGACTAAAAGAGGGACGAAAGATACCAGAGGGACAGTCAAACTCATAGATCGAAAACAAACTGACAACGCCATGGCCAAAGTTGACTAAGTGACATCCTGTTCATCATATGCTGACACATTTGATCGGATCTAGGGCATAAGTGCTATGTGCCATTTTAAAGACAATATCTTCTACCTCCGGTACCTATGCCAACAAAGAGAATCTCACAGTTTGGCCAGCCGACAATAGTTAAGATGGACTCTGTGACATGCCAAGTACCCCGAACCATATGCTACCAAAGTCATGCGGATAAAGGCATAAGTGACGTAGACCATCTAAGAGGCACTATCTTCTTCTACCTCAGGTAGTATTGAATTTTAGGGAACAAAGTATCGTATGTTACCATGGTCAACATGGAGAATCTGTTTTGTTTTTGTCCAGCCTGCTAAACTGAAGTTGCACTATGTTGACACAGATGAACGACTTCACAATAAAATCTATGACAAACGTATATATAGTTTAAATAATTATATTTGAAAATACAATAAAATCCTTGTTATTTTTTTCATATTTTTTGAAAGAAAAAGGGTGCCAATGTTAAATGTATGAAAAGTCTAGAGAGAATTATTTCCCGCCAAATTTTCGAAGGCTTATATCTCCAAAACAAGCACACGGACCCTTCATTTTGTCTGCTATTTTGCTATTTTAGTTCGTTTATTTATATACTATCAATTTACAGCAGTCTTTTTAAAGTTGAAACAGAGTAGCGAACATCCTTTATTATGATGTTTCTTTTGTAAGTCTAGTTGGATATTCTGTTATGTCTTATCGTTTATGGTTTGAATTCTATTTTTATTTTCTATATGTATGAAAAAGTTAAGATAAATAATATGCTAGTTCATGTATATGATTTGTAGTTTAAAACCACTATATGCACAGGATTTATTTGATTTTAAACAGTTTTGATTTAGGTAGCAATATACAGTTAGGAAAAAAAATTAAAATTTACTCTTCTAAGTTTTACCATCCCCTTTTCCTTGCTTTCTTACAAAATAAGCTACTGTTTGTGTCATATATGTGCATAATTATGTAATCAGTATCTTTCATAGATTTGATGTGCAGTAGTTGAAATGGTCAAATATAATTTCTCTTCGGTGTATCCATGACAACAACCTGCATGTATTTGCTAAACAATATTACAAAAAGGGGGGGGGGATAAAGATGTCACATATTTCCCAAAATTTAGACACAAGTAGAATTTCAATCCCTTGGAGTGATACCTTTTCAGCAATTATTTACATGTTTCTATCAAGTGATCAAATAAATATCATATATCTTTCGTCTGCGTCAAACAGCTCGTGTGAAAAAAAATGTTTGTAAACAGTTCACAAATTTCTGGACCTGTGGTTGGTCTGGCTATGAAAATACGTACAGTCAAACAGAAAATATCCCATAAAACATGTAAAAATGATCTTG